AAAAGATTAACTATGTCCAAAGAGTGAATCACTTAATCCACCAGTGAATATACAGTTACAGCCAAATATATTTGAGCAGGGCCCCTATTTACACTGCTCTCTTCATTAACAGTGACAGTAACCACTAAGTAGATTGTCAGTGTTACATATTTTAGGTCTCAAACTTCATACAGTGTCAATTCACATTCACACTGATGTGAACACAAAGCCAAAACATCACAAATGTAAAGAATAAGGTTGCCAATGTTCAATATGTTGTTCTTATTTTCAACAAATTAACTGAAAAGACCAAAACCAACAATTAATTAGTTACTGAAAAATATTACTTGTGTAGCCCAAGCCTGATATGGCATTCATTACAAAGAAACATGGACTGTAGTCAGTGTGTGATTTGTTCATTTTTAACAGGGCGATGTCTCTTACTGATCTATGGTCAGGTTTCAGAAGTGACTCTGGGGGTGTATATTTTCAGCAGCATTGACACTACTGAATGATTATTAAAATATTATAGGAATACTAGAGGCAGCAGTGTGTCTCTACGATCTATATATTCATCTAGAGTATAAATATAGTGTATAAATTAATATTAATAGTATGCAGTTCATAGAATATTATAGATCCGAGACACAAGCGAAAGAAGGACGGGACTGAGAGAAAAAAAGCACAATTGCAAATCTGTCTGCTGCTTCAGTGCCACGGACAGCCGGATGGATTTGTCAATACACAGCCTACTGATATTTCAGAGCCATGGTCGGGGCCATAGATTCAAACTAGCATAAACCTCAATCGGATAAAAGATCGATGTGTCAGGCAAGACTAGAATAACATGTTTGATTAAACAACCCCTTTGCCTCTGCGCTCTCTCGCTACTAGGGGATGAAGCGGGAGGATCGCAGGTTAACAAGTGGAATGGCATCCCTCCTTGAATCACATCCTGGTGCAGCTAATACTCACAAAAACACAGTGTGTGTATGAATATGTCACATAAAAAAAAAAAACATATTTGTTGCCCATTTTTAAAGGTTTACAAACAGGAAAAGGAATTCTTCAAGTAAACACAAACTTGGTTTTGGCCTTTTCATGGGAAAAACTTACAATAATGCCACCCGTATCCATTAAAACTGAACTCACAAAGTCGTAATACACTACCTGACATGTCTGCCTCTTCTAGGAACAAGAGTCGGAGTTGTACAGTTCAGTCACACGTTTGAGGCCATTCGTCTCGATGACCCAACCATAAACTCCATGTCTGCCTTCAAAGACGCAGTGAAGAGACTGCAGTGGATTGCTGGGGGCACCTTCACTCCCTCGGCCCTCAAGTACACCTATGATAACCTAATCAGGGACAGCAAGAGATCCCGGGCCAAAATATCTGTGGTGGTAATCACAGATGGCCGCTTCGACCCACACGACGACGAGAATCTGCTTGATTACCTTTGCAATGACAACAATGTGGTGGTGAATGCCATTGGGGTTGGTGACATGTTTAAAGAGAGACAGGATGATAATATCCTGGGGTCGATAGCGTGCCGCAAGAAGGATCGTATCTTTGAGATGAATAGGTACACTGACTTGGTGGCTGACAACTTCATAGAAAAGATGGAGACTGTGCTCTGTCCCGGTAAGCCTGCACCAGTACACACAGCAGGATGACCATACTGGTCCTTCAGTCCATTTGTGTAACCATTTGATTTTCCTTCCAGACCCGGAGATTGTGTGCCCTGATCTCCCCTGTAAGAGTGGTAAGTGTTATTCATGGCTTGATTATTTGTCCGTTGTCATAACAAAGAGTGTAGCTCAGTGTGTGATTTGTTTTCTTTCATTACAGAACCTCACGTAGCTCCATGCGTCCAGCGGCCGGTGGATCTGGTATTTCTAATAGATGGCTCAGAGCGCCTCGGGCCTAACAATTTCCGGCAAGTGCGTGAATTTGTAGAGAAAGTGGCATTCAGACTGGTAATGGCCCGGAGCAAGACTGATCGTATGCGAACCCGCTTGGCACTGGTACAGTTCGGCAAAGAGAACGAGAACGCTGTGGCCTTCCCTCTCACACACGACTCTGCTGTCATCGCTGAAGGAATAGCCGGCTTGACTTATCTGGATACTTCTTCGAGCGTCGGGCCTGGCATCATCTACACCATCGACAACGTACTGGGTAAAGGAAATGCTCGGCAGACGAGACGCTACGCAGAGGTTTCATTCGTTATCATCACAGACGGTGTCACTGACAGCAGGAACCTGGAGGAGGCGGTTAGCGCCATGCGCGGGGCACAGGTCGTCTCCACAGTGATAGCCACGGGAAGTGACGTTGACCAAGAAGTCTTAACGAAGCTGGCCATGGGTGACCAGGACGCCATCTTGAAAGTTAAAGAAGTCTCTGATCTGTCCCAGTCTAGTTTGTTTGACCGTTTCATCCAGTGGGTATGTTAAGAGAGAGACCACGTGGATGTGAATGTCATACTGGTGCTACTGCTGTTGTTCTAGCATTTAAACATGTGATACTGGTTTAATATTATTCTTCTATGCACTGTACATTTTGCAATTGAAATCACAGCACTGTGCTTTATTACGTTCGTAACTGTATTCATAAAAACTGTATTCATCTTCCATATTGTTACACAAAAACATAGTAGCAAGTCGCTCATTCTTCATCCACCATTAAGCTTTACATATTTTAGATAATAAACCTGCAGTCTGTTGGACACCGCAGTGCTGTCTTCTGTAAAGTCACAGAAATCTTAAGATTTAAAGCACTTTAATTACTATGGATTCATAGAAAATACATAATTTTAACAAAGACATTTGTGACAAAACACATTTAAAGCCCTCCACATACAGAACTTGCAAAGGTTTGTGTGAGTTCTACATACAAGAGTTATCTTAGATACAGTACCGGTGTAAAGGTCAGTTAAGTCAAACATTGCATGCAGTTACTCAGTATCACCTGTTACAAGTATCAGCGGTTTCTAAGTGGGAGGCAGAACAATGGACGGCTGAATTGGTTTGGTCAGGCTGGCTGAATGATTGCATTCTTCTCATTTCTCTGGATGTCCACACTGCAGACGCTCCCATTGCATCCCTTCTTACATCATGTCCAGCTGCACAGGAAGAGAAAAAAAAAGATGTAAGACTAGAGTTTATATGAAAGGTCTCAACAGGCTAAGCACATCATCAGACTGAGGCCCATTCTGCAAAATACACAGGAAATGGCTTTAACATGAGTTTAGGGTACATCAGTTAAATATTTAAAAGCTAAAAAGTCACCAACACATACCAAGTCATCAACATCTCCAGTGTCTTCAGCTGACGGCACAGCCGCCTCCTCTTTCTTCTCCTCAACAACCATAAACTGTGGACAACATTGGTTCCAGTCAGTATTAGTACAGACTCAAGATCACAGTGATTTCAGGAGGGGAGTTTTCATTACATCACCTGAATAGCTTCGTTTTTGGATACAGTGCTTCCTTCAACCTCGTCCTTGCTGATGAGAGTTATGGCATCTGTCAATCAAACAGCAAAAAAAGGTTCACAAACACGGACTTGTGATTCAGGCCTCAGCGCTTTATTGAGCGTCAATGAGCTCCCCTCGTTTGTGTGTTATTTGCATATTTTGCTCACAATTATGTGGAAATGTAATCTCCAGTAATACGGCTTAACATACCCTGAACAAGCAAGTCCCAGAAAACCTCCAGCCGTCTGTTTGGGATGCTTCTTTTCAGGGACTGGAGGTAGCTATTGTACAGATCAGCATTCCCCAGCTGAAAAATGAAAGATAAGAAACATCCAAAATCCAATTATCAGTCTGCTTTAAAAGCTCACTTCTGCCTACAGACACAGAAGTACACACTCACACAAGAACTGGCCTTAGTTCAAGTCTTGAGAAATGAAACAGACGCCTCAGGTTGACTCATGATCTTCACGGTAAAGCAAAAAACTATGTGTTCTGATATCTCGAGATTGTTTCAGACTCTTAAAACAGAAACTCCCACATCATCGTTCATTTTCCCAAAAGGAAGATAGTGAATGTTTATTTACCTTAACGGACTGCTCTCTAAAAGCCTGGATACAGGTGATGCTTTTCATGTAGTAGTGTGTGTTCTTGTTGCTAAGCAACTGCTCTATCCTGTGAGTCAGCTGCTGGCAGACTGGGAAGGACAAGGGGGTCACCGCAACCAAACAAAGAGATAAATACAATTACCAAGGCTGAACATGAGTCACAACGGTTTATAATACGTCCAGACAAAATGTTTAGAAGGCCAGAGCGCCGAGAAAAAAAAACTGGACCTCACCCTCTCCCAATGGAAGACTCTTCAACTTAATCAGAGTACGGAAGTCTCGGGCTGGATCCACGCTTCCCACCTGGTGAAGAGTTTAAAAAAAGTACCTTAATGAAAAAGTACTTTATTTAGACTAGCTGATTCTTTATAAAAAGTGGTTATCTATCTAGAGGTATTACGCCATCCAGACTCCCTGATTCTCACCGAAGTAACAGAGCCTTCGGCAATGTCAGCCAGGTTATAATCCTCTTCTTCGTCTCCTTTTGCTTTCTTGGCATCTGGTTCCTCTGCGCTGTAAATGGCAAAGGGGGTCAGTAAGAATACGGAAAATAGTTCATTTCAGTAAAACGTTCACACACACACCACGGATACTCTCAAAACACTAGTGTACGATTTAAAAAAAGAAAATAAATAAATTACATCCCAAAGTCAATTTGAATTTCATTCAACCATCTGCATGAATATTTTGGACAACACAAATGACTTCTCACTACATGACTAACAGCCCTCGCTGTAATGGTCAAAGACTCACCAGCATACTAAAGCAAAACTTACTCTTTGCCAAAAATCTGAGCACTAGTCTTCAGCTTCTTTTTCTTCTCCACTTCTGTGAGAGGAAAGGTCCTCTTTATCTCCTCTAGTGGAGCCTGGCAACGTTCACTAATGACATCAGGGCGCTCAAGAGCGGCCTTCAGCCATGGCTCCATGGGGGGAAGAGGGGTGCCGGGGTTTACAGCCCGATGATGCAGACACTGAAAGAAAGGTTGGATTGAGGAAGAAATCCTGGTTGAATATCAACAGCCACTCGCTGGTGAAGCTCTCATCTAATGTTACCGAGCTGAAGAGGACACAATTCAGAATAAGTAAGTAACAGGAGTGCTGTATCTCTTAAATAGACTGCAGTACCTGGAAGTGCCTCTGGAAGGCAGGGTTGGGAATGTGGTGGACCTTGAAAATGTCCTTTTGTTCTGCATCATCATCCTTCTGTACCAACATCATGGAGTCAATAAGAGAGTCCACCGCAGACAGCTGGGTGTCTACAGGAATCAACCAACACACAAAACACCATTAAAGGCTATTCTTACATCCCTCACTGAAGTCTTCTTAGTGACAATAACTAACTGTAGTGCTGCAGCAGGGCGGGTCATGACTTCATAAAGATGGTGAAAAGGACACTGCTGGGAAGTAGCAGTGTACCAATTCAGGGCCAATAAAATACGTAGTACCAGATCATTTTTGGGGGTCTTTTTGCCTTTTTTTTTGACAGGACAGAGAACAATAGACAGTAAGGAGGGAGAGAGAGCCACGTGTTGGATTCAAACCCACGGCCTTTGCAGCAAGGACTCAGCCTTAACACATGGGTGCCCCAGCTCTACCAGACCAGCTACCAGGACGCCCAGTATTGGAGGAATTTCTGATGACTGGTATCAATTCTGGTTAAATAAGAGCAGTGACAAGTAAGATGCATGTGTGTGTGTGTCTTCATGGAGCCTGGTGAAGTAGTGTTGAGATGGCAACAGCTTTTAACAGTGACATGTTTACACCTGCAGGTCTAAATGCTGTAACTGCTGCTGTGATAATAATCACACCTCTTGCAGAGAATCTGCAGTTAGTTAAACAATTCAATACCTTGAGGTGTTTTGTGTCTAAAGAGACAGTACCTGATGGAGAGAGCTTTTTGTTGTTTTCCAGAGAAGGGAACGTAAACTGTCTGAGGTCTTCCATGAAGGGCAGCTGGACGTACATCAGACACTAATAATGGTGCGATACAGACTGTTAGCTCTGTGATATTGGACGCAGATTCAGTAAATATTCTTGAAACCAGCTTGTTTTAAGAGTCTGCGATCTCACCTCATAGTTCTGTTTTACGCACGGGAAAGCTGCTCCTACTTGAGGGTTGCTGCGCCGGTCATAGGCGTAACGTACAATGGCAACCATTTGGAGTTCATCTAGCGCTCGGATGAGTGCGGACAGCGCAACTCCTGCGTGCTGCTCAGACAGAAGAGTAGAAACAGAGAACGGTCAGTATCAACATGTAGTCTTCCTTAGTGCAGCAGTTCTTTCTGTTCTCACCTCATCATCCTTGGGAGCAAACATCTTGACGACTTGACTCCCCATGAACTGATGGCGACGCACCTGCAGTGGGCGAATAGAGTTTAAACGTTTTAGGTTTACATCATCTGAGATTTGTTTTACTTGAATATTTCACACCAGCATATAAAGTACAATACCAGGTTCTGTTTGGTGAAGCCGAGAACAGCAAAGCACTTCCCATCGTGCTTGTATTTCATCTGGTCTTGATCTACTTTGGAGAACGGAACAATATCGCTTCCATAACGAAAACCTGTTAACAAAAAATACGTTTTTTAAGCAGCAGTAGTAGTGAAGTAGTTAGTAGAACAACAGTCTGATTTCACAACAACTTTCTTACCTTGGATGGTATCGTCCCTTTGCACCTCTGTCTCATTGTCATCATCCAGGCAGTAGACCGTCTCTCTCTTCACGTCGTCTTTCTTGTTGCTCTGAGCGTCAACCGTAACCCACGTTTTCTTCAGTTTCTCCTCTGTCACCTGGAATACACGGTGAGGAGGGTCCAAAATTAACCTTCTGACAAATGTTTTTTTACCGGCCATGAAACTGCATCGTGGTTCTGAGTTTCATATTTTCGATCAGCCACAAAGACACTAACACGTAACACATATGTTTCTAGATATTGTGTAAAAAGCGCCAAATGGTAGTAAGCTGATTGGATTTGATTTGCTGACCTCACGACAGGTACGGTGGACAGTGAGGGTCACATGAGAAACACAGCAATGGTCTTACGTTGTGATTCCACATTATATTCCGGCCATCTGTCCGATGATCCTAATTTATTATCCGTCAAAACCCAAATTTGACTGACAGGTGTGAATTTTGGTCCTTGATGGTGAATAGTATTTGTTGCTGTAAACCTTTGGCTTCACTTTGACTATTATTGGTGAGCTGCATATTTGATTTCTTTCATTGAACAAAGAGTATGTATATATATATACTCAGGCAGAAACACTATTATACAATATAACTTCATTTAAAAATGTACATGCTGGTATATATAGAATATAATAATCAGTCATTTTATTCTTAGTAAACAAATAAAACATGACAAACATCTGACCATAACCTTTTGCATTAACCAATGTGTGGAATTAATTTTTGCCACAAGGTGTCACTAAATGATCAAATGAACAAACAGAAAGGAGCAGCAGTCAGACTTCACAGTAGTCACTTCTGAGTGACTTGATTACATGTGTAACAGCATATTTAGGGCTGCAATTAACCTGTCTATCACTTTCTCAATAGTTTGATTAGTTGTTTGGTCCATAAAATTTCAGAAAACCAGAAAAAAAATCACATTTGAGCAGCTGGAATCAGAGAAGTCGGTCTACCATTATTCAGACCTGAGAAAACCTATAAAAGGCATTTAGTGTTTACTCATCCAGTGGAGTTGTCAGTAAACTTACTGCTTTGTATCCAACAATACGGATGGACAGACAGCTGCCAATGGTCAGCTGACAGGGCCAGGCCATGGGTCTCCTCTCGATACACTTGAACATACATAGCTGCTCAATTGCCTTCCTACGGCAAGAGTAAAGCACATGAAAAAGCCAATTCATACGACATCATCCAGTAAGAACATCAACTACTTTTAAATGTATAGCGAACCCTGAGAGTCCGAGAGAAAAATGGATGTAAAGAAGAAAGAAGTGAGATGTGAGAAGTATCCAGCGTTTTGTATAACCCTTCAAACCTGAAGGTGTAAATTTGATCCAGGCCGTCCTCCTCATCCAGGCTCAGCATGACGTGTTTCACCAGGTCCAGACTTTCCTTCTGTTCCCTGGACAGACCTTCGCCCGTACCTGGGTGACCGGGGCCTCTTCTGTCCGCATCTCCTCCAGCCTCTTCATCGTCCTCCGCAGGGAAAGGCAAACTTAAAATGCATAAGCGAGGAAAGATGCATAGGTATGATTAAAGGCCCTGAAACTACAGTTAATTTAACTTACTTGACTTCTAATAACATCATTATTAGCTAAATAAAATATGTCTTTGATGCTGCACAGTGGTGGTTCTCAGCGTTTTAGCATCCCAGATAGCTCGGTTATAATTTACACAATAATAATTAAATTGCTGCCATTACTTGTAATATTTACTGACACACATAATTGTACTTACTATTATCATTATTCTACAACTGCACTATGCAGATTTGTGTGGTTTCTATAGCTGCAGGTTTGACCCGTTTGCCTTGAGTGTGTATAAAAACAGTATTTGGCACATCATGATGAAACTCCGGCAGTAAAGCAGCCACAACAAGAAGCACAGCTAGAGGAACCAGCGCTATCCGAGATGTGACTGGTTCTAATAAAACATTTGAGCACGTGCGCAGTCAAAAACATTTGGTGAATGTGTTCAAAGCTTACAAAAACTGCAGGGTGATGCCATCTTGTTTCAGGTTTTCAATAATAACGTCCAGGTGATCTTGGTTGGCCTGAGTGCTGAGGTCAGTCAGGAGGGCAACATTGAGGCGATCATACTTCTTCCCCCTGAAAATCCACCAAGCACATCAATCGATCAATCACGCCACTGAAAAACCAATAATCTCTGAAACTGAACTGCACGGACAAAAGTTTGTCACGAATTCATACGAGCTACAAGCAGCTTCTTACTTTGTTCCTGTCTGAAGGACATCCATGCAGACGACAAGAGCATCCATCCCTGATGAACAGAAGTCAAGGAGCAAACAGAGTCTCACACGTCATCTCTACACAAACAGGACAGATGAATAAAGTCAAAGAGTCTGTGTCTCTCTCACTTAATTGTCTGCTTCATTGCACATTAAAAACAGTGAAATTGACAATTAAATCCAATACAATAGACATTTGAGTGGATCTAATCACACAAGTCATTAAGTTATAAAGCCGTTTGTTATGAAATTATTAAACCATTAAATTAATCAACCTAAAACAGATTTTTAAAAATGTGTTCACAAACAAGAAGAAGTTACCTTTCCTCTTAGAAATTAATGTGAAAGGCGAGTGCTGGGATTAATGCAGCATAGCCTGGGGTGGGTGAATGACACTGACAAAATCCTGTATCACAGTATATATGTTATATATGAGTAACTGAGAGCAAAGCTGAAGAAGCTACAGCCAAAACACACTGTTAACTCCGAATAAAATCACAGTAAAGTCATTCCAGTGTGTGGTGGTTAATGTAATTTATATCTATCTCTACATTTATTTATATTTTTTTTTTTCTGTGAAAAGAAATTTAAGAAAATGTTAATGGATACAATAACTAAACAGGAAAATTTGCTTTGCTTTATTCAGAAGATGAAACGCAAGAGAAAATGAGGTACTCGTAAAGGTAAAACGAGGTAATACACTATATATTGATCAATCAAGAGGATACAATCAGCCTGCTGACTCTGTGGATGGATCTGATTCTCTATTTCCTCCAGAAGCTCGAAATCAGGTATCATAAGGTGACGATGCACCGTGATGTTCTGGTACTGGCCATCCCGGTCCAGGGGGTTCTTGGTGGCGTCTGTGCCAAACAGAACTAACGCCAGCTCGTCCTTGTTCTCTGCAAAAACCTGTCACAAGACAAAAGGCCTCGTCAGAGTAGATCCTCCAGGTGGACACTGTTTGTTTTTTTGTTAATGTGTAGAAGTAAACGTGTAGAAGAAGTTCACCTGGCGCTGGACAAACTTCTGGATGACTTTTTTTGCAAGTTCAAAGGGAGGCTCTTCGCCCGAGGCAGAGTTGGACATGGATAATCCAACATCCATGCACAGGACCAGCGCTGACTACAGAGAACAAAACATTTCAGGATCTAATAAAAACATTTGTTCTGGTCAACACATTAGAGATGCTTTGAGCACAGACACAGATGAGCAAGCCTTTAAAAATACCAAAGATATTTATTATTATTATTATTATTATATTATATTATTATTTATATTATTATGTATTATTTATATTATTATGTATGTTTTTCTGCGTCTAGTCCAGATTTTTCTCATTGATACTTTCATAATTTTCCATATATTCCCCGTTTCCCGTCGATTTTTACCTCATTCATTCCTTATGGAGAACTCCCAGTTTTTATTTATTTATTTATTTATTATATTTTAACTACTCATTCACAGTCTCCACATAGAAACACGCTGAACATTTCTTGGATAAAAGTAATACTTTTATTTGTTTTCACGCTGTTAACGTTAATAACCTTTGTATTCGTTCAATAGGGGGCGGGGCGGAATGTCAGTTAGCGTCAACGGTCCCAACGCGTCTCAACATGTCACCAGAGAATGCTCTGATGTCACTAACGTTTACCGTCTGAAGCTGAAAGAAAACGGTTGGTTTCTAACGTTTAAAAACTGCTCATTTAAAGCAACTTAACATTATCTAATAACGCTGCACACCGGAGTAATTATTTTATTTAATTTTTATTTAAATGCAACACAAAGTAACTCACTTTAGCTCCTGCCATCTTCTTTTTTCCCTCTCCCGACAACTGGGTGTCGCTCTGTTATGAGTCCGGAGAGGAACTGTGGACAACAGGAAGTAACAAATGTTCCGCGGTTCTCTTTGCTCACCTTTTTAACTTACAATAAACCTGTTTAACAAAACATGCTGGACTTGTTTCCAGCTATGATAATATCAGCTGTGGTGTTATTGAACTTAAGACGAGTCAGTGTTATTTAATGCAATAAGCACATGTAGGTCAAACGCCCTCCAGCGTTTCATAGCCCCTGTACTGTGTGTGGTCTATTTGGGTCAAATAAAATCATAAATAAATAAAAACACAATGAACAAAATGAATAAATTAGTAATTAGGAGCAATAAAACTGACGAATTAATGTATAAATAAATATTTGGTATAAATACAAAATACTGAAAGTCATCCCCGAACACTAAAACTAAAATGTAAAATCCTTGATTTGATATTTCCCGTTTGCATTTAATCATTTTAATTGTGTAAGTTTAACTGTATACTTTTTATTTCACTACATAAAGGTGTGTATGCTCTCTACACTGTGAGGAATTAAAATATTTTATGAAAATACACCACAAACACCTCAAATGTCTTGAAGAATTACTACACCAATGACCTTACTGTCCCCAATCAAAGAGTTGTCCTGGCTCATTAGTGTGGTTTTCAATCACATACTGTGTTTGTTTTAACATTAGTTTAATTAAATCAGATAAACTAAGCCAGTACAAGTTGCAGATACCTCCTAGTCTATGAAACACTCTCCCATAGGCATTAATTAGATTTACATCATGCATGCATTGTCATGTTGTGAGTTTTTTGTTCTATTGTACTGTATAAGGCATTGGAGCATATGGATTTGGTCAGTAAGAACCCCAATGTAACACCAGGGTGCCAATAATCAGATCTCAAAGCATCCAGAGAGCCATCTGTGTGCACCATGCAGGGAAATGTGCTGACTTGTTTTTCTGAGAGACATTATAAACTAGACAGAAAACATTGATCTGCTGTGCATTGAAACGAGCATATTTAAAATTAGCACATATACAATGACATACAGTAACACTTTGTTTAATTTGTGTAATTCTTTACTTTGCATTCTGTGGTTTCACAACATGTAATATGGCATACAGACTCAATCCATAAACACATCTTTACCTGTGTGAAGTTAAAATTAAATTACTTTACCCGGCCAGGTCTAATCATAAACATTTGAATCACCAAATATTTAAACCATCCAATCTACTTAAACCAACACCTTCCACTATGTATTTCAATCAGTTACTGATGGCTGTTTGCAATACATTTACTTCAAAGAGTATAAAACACCTAGCTACAATAATGTCAGGAAGTGTACAAGACTTAAATATTTAAAATAAATTAAATCAGCATTAGAAATATGACTGTTTGGAAATGTAACAGGAATTCTTCGGTGGAAAGTTACAGAGAACTTCATTTTACTCGTGTATGGACCACAACTGTGAAGACAACACAAGTAGTTTAAGATCACAAACATCTGTGTTGATGGCGCCTTAAACATACAAAAACATGACAATGAAAAAACATAAATTCACCAAAGAAATGTCAGATTTGTCAGCTTGTCCTGACTATGGCTTCAAATTGTGGCTGGATTAACACATGAATAAGCAACACTGTCACACTGGGTGACACATTCCCTCATTATCATGATCACACACTGTAGTTTATCCTGAGTCAGTCCCACATCGTCACCATCCTGCTGCTGAAAATACCCACTAGAGCATCAAATGTGTATTAAACACTTAAAATAGTCCACACAAATGTACTATTTGCTTCTGTATTACTTAAAATGTGCTTAAAACTACAGTTCCCAGCTGTTTTAGGACAGTAATGCATTGTTATATTTAAGGTCCATTATTAAAAATGTATATCTTCAGTAGGAACCAATGGGATTGAGGGCCACAGACAGGAAAGATGAGCCACTACCACATTAGTGATTTGTTGACAATAAGAAGAATATAAAGTCACGCCAGCCTTTAAAAACTAGATGCTGACACAGAACTCCTTAACAAGATATCACCCATCTTAATGTGATCAATGGTGCATATTCCCAATCAACAGCCTCTTTTTTTCCAGTTGGTAATCCAGCCTTGCTTCAAATACAACTTCACTGAGTGATTATGATGATGTCACATACAAGACAGCATTGCCTGTGAAATGAATGCTGTTTCTGATGTCAGTGCGCAGCACAGTGATCACAAACATTTTAAGTACAGATATTTACAGGTGAAGTGAAACTTTCAGGCCTCCAACACAGTCAGAGTCCACAGTCAGCTTATCTAAACTTTACTACAGGAGGCATCAAGGCCTACGTGTATCAAAAGGTCCTTGAGGAGGATTCAGTGATCTGAGAATAATTAAAAGTTAAAAAAAATGACCCAACATGCTCAGAGGAATGATTAATAGAGATCTGGATCCAATAATGCTTTACAAAATTTAAGGAGTATAGCACAATTCAGGCAGTGTTTGATAAGTTATGATTTGCAGAAGAGTAGTGAAGTGAAATAGCTTTCATATACTTTCCTGTGACCAATTTGAACTTCCTGGTCACATAACTTGACTTCAGCCTGCATCGACACGTGCCCCAGACCTCAGCATCCCTCCACTTCACACTGATGACGTCTGAGCGAGTTCACTTGGGGCTTTGCTCTGCAGAGTGCCACAAACTGTATCAGAGTCGAGCAGCTCTACTATGCTATAGGGGGAACAGTCCTCCAGTCCCAGCTTCCCACAGGCCCAGCCGCAGAAGCCTTTCTCCAGGTCTCTCACAACCTGCCACCACTCACTGAAGGCCCAGGACACCTGCACCACAGCGGAGTACAGAGCCAAAGACAGCGCCATGGGCATGATGAGCATGGGGTAGAAGATGATGAGGAAGGGGCATATCGTAATCTTGTGCCAGAACGTCCGCTCCTCATTGTACACCAGGAAGACGTTGTACCAGGTGAGAGTGCCGTAGTAGAAGGAGGTGATGAAGGAGAGGAGGAAAACCACAGGGGCACAGGAGACGCTCCACAGGACAACGTGGGGTCCCTGGCACACACCCAAGCTGCAGTTGCATTTGGCGCCCTCCCCTGCTTCACACTCTGCATCCAGACGTTCCCTTGACTTAGCCAGATCCCTGAGTTCCTTCTCTGTCAAAGTGAGGTGAATGTCAACCACCTGACCCTTCTTCTTCCCACGGGTGATGGTGCCTGTCAGAGTCACGTAGCGGCTGTCTGGAGGAAGGCTCCAGCCGCTTCCTGTTCAGAGATAATACAACAGAAGACAGATACTTATCTGAAAAACAACAACAAATAAGGTTCCCTTCCCTATCGTCTTGTTTGGGTGAGAGGAGGTACCTGGAGAAGTGGGTATACTCTACACTAATGTTTGCATATTTATCTCCTCCAAGGAGCCAGTAGTAATTGTTAATTGTCATTTAACATGTGCTGCTTGACATCAGGGACAAAGGATCATTATGAAATCAACAATAGCAACAGAAGAGGTGCAGATTTTGCATTCAATACTGGCTCAATACAGACGCATGAGACAACTACATAAATATGCATTTTGAGAGAAGTACTCCTTATTCCTAAAATTGGAGTATGTCATGCCTTTGCCATCCTAGAGAAACACATGTAACTCATAGAACACTATTAAAGGATGCACATACGAGGTGGTTTAGAAGTGGGTGTACCAAATGCAGAAAAATACGTGGGTAGCCTGCATTACACCACTGGAAGAACTGAATTACAGGAACTTATGAGACCGAACAGCTCAAAAAGATTTGACTTTAAATCACTATTTCATTATCTACAATCCTAATGAATCTACCTGTGAGTAGTCAGTCTGCATTGTATAATCTGCATTACATATGCTTGTGCCTTCATGATTTTAACAGACTCTGACACCCGTCTCACCTTCGCCTGTAGGTGTGCAGAGGAATTTAGCTCCCTCCTCTGCGCTCCTCTCCGCTCCCTCCTCACCGCCTTGGTCCTCTCCAGGTGCCCTCTCTACATCAGACCGGTAGACAATAATGGACTCTGGACGCGGGTCTTTCTTCTTCCTCCTCTTCCTCCTTATGGAGGGCCCCACTTCTCCATCGTCCACATGGTTCCCTGATATGTCTGATCTTAAGGAGATCATCTGGGGGCTGCCCTCTCCTTCAGTCTGGGTCTCCTCTACCTGAGCCATGCTCTCACCGGATCCAGTAAAACCCTTTGACTGTGTAGACTCCTCTTTGATGGTCTGTATATAGAGACTAATGGGAAAGTCCAGAACTAGGTCCACCCATTGTGTTTTATTTTATCTGAGGGCGATGAATGCAAAGTGGTAAAAGCAAACAGAGAGAGAGAGAGAGACATTAAAAAGCATGTTTGTTTTTTTACAGTCACAATAATGTAATCCTCTATTTACAGCGATCCTGGCCTAGATTCTGCACACTCGCCTTTTTCTGTGATGATGACTGATAAAAAATCTATCAAATGTCACATTTATCATTGGTCTAATGACATTGGACATCTGAACAGACACAGACACAAATCGCTCTAGATAGATGACAAACAAAGCGTGATAGATTTGTACCAAAAAAAAAAGGGGAGGAGGGGGGGCTGTCTCTCTCTTTTGCCTGACAGCGCAGCGGTACCCTCAGTGGATAATCCCATCCCCTTTACAGACAGACAAACTACTAAACCCAGAGATAAATTGTAGTGGATTTTCTTAAATAATGCATAATTTTGAATAAAAGAGGGGGTCGACAATGCAACCCATTCTTCACACAGCTGATCCCCTCCCATTTAAATCCCACCCATGTCCGCTCTTTTGTCTGCAGCCGGCGAACAACATGTACTCTGACTGAGAGCTGCAGTTGTAATTAAAACCTTACCTTTCAAATAGGTCGGACGAGCAGCGGGGCAGATAACCTGTACCGAGAGAGGATGAATCACTTCATTTGGCTGAGCCCACACATCACAGCGCTGGGGTTTTTTTTTTACCGATACAGATGCGCTACGCAAAATGATTTCCAGAATAGCACTAAACCCGCCCCTCTAACCTCTGTCACACCAATCCTGAGCCATCCGTGATCCTGACTGCAGTCATGTGAACAGGAAAAAATGTTCCACCAAAGTCTATTAAAAGCACGTCTGGGAATGAATAAAATATGTATAACTACAAATAAAATATATACATCAAAATCAACAATAAAAACCACATATGTTTACATTATATCAATATTAATGTTTAATATCTAGCCTATGTGTATACATGTATATCTGTTCAGTCATATTATATATTATATACATAATATTATTGATATTATCATTATATACTGTTATTAACAATAACACTACCACCATCTTGCAACTACAACTCTTTGCACCTTACCTACCTATTTATCTTTTTTATCTTTTCTATCTAAG